AGTTAAAATCATGTTTTAGTCTCTGTGCATTATTATCTCTTCTGCACCGGCCTGTCGTCAGATAACTTGATGGGCATTTCCAGATCTTCAATGTAGCCGATATCATCATCACTTTCAGAAAATGCTGCAGCTTCCTCTCGTAGTAATTTAAGTACTATTTCTTTCTGGTGGGCAGATAATCCACTCAGATCAACTTCTGCTGTCCACCCGTTGACTTCAGTATCCACCAGTTGGTCAGGTTCATTGTGATGTGGGACAGTGAGGTTATATGACTTTTCATCTTGACTGGTTTCCACACATGACATTTCATCCGGGGACTTTTGGTATCTTACTTCTAAAGGTGTGACTGACCGCAGCATCTGGAGTCTTCCTAGAGTTGTATGCCGCCGCAGGACTATATCATGGTTGGAAGAATTGAACACAGGGATGCGGACTTTTGCAGAGGAACCTTGTGAAATTGAGAGTAACGTTTCTTGAGATTCTAGGCCTGGTGAGCATTGGGTTTCCTCATCGGGCTCAAAGGTTACTGGAGTAAGCCGTTCAATGTATCCCGTATTTGCACGGCAGGGAACATAAATAGTGCTTCCTTTTGGAATAACAATGACATGCTTCCCTGATCGAATACTGCACATTTCACTACAACACGACGAAGAGAGAAAATTTAACAATGCCTATGCCTTACTTTCATTGACATTGTCAAAGCTCGAAATGACGCACTGCATGTCCGCATTATTGCATCATCCACCACAGTCAATCAGGAATACAATCGATTCTCCGCTAACGGCCACCTCTCTATAGCGGCCACCTCTCCACAACGGCCAGGATTTATCGTACCAATCGTACGTCTATCCATACTTTTCACTCTTATTGAAACCTCCATGCAACGGCCACCTCTCTACAATTGCCAGTTAATTCCGCCCCAGGGTGGCCGTTGTAGAGAGGTTCAATTGTACTTTATTCCACACTACTCAGAAAAAGGTAGCACGAGTACTGATGTCTTTCGTCTTAGGCACCAATTTATACGTTTAAGTCGTGTCGCCGGATTGTATTCCTTGATTCTACTACGTTGCAATACACCATGGAACCGACGTGTTCTACGTACTTTGCTGTTTGTGTGGGCTTTGATTTCAGCGAGTTTTCTGGGACTTGAGACACTCGATCCGACTGAAATGCGACGTATAACATAGTAGACTATAGACCTTACCTCCTGCATGTAGACTTCAATGGCTCTGTTCAAACTGGTTCTTCTTTCCATCATCGCAGTTTCCAGGCTCTTCCGGCTATCGTACTTGCAATATACTTTGGTTTTCTTTCCTTTCACGGGATAAGTGAAGTAAAATCTTCGACCGTCCTCTTCTGTCTCCATCTCCGCTGCCTTTCCTTTACATCCCCAGGCCACCTAAAAATACAAGCAGTTTTCACAAAAGTTGAGCAACGTTTATGCATGGAACCTCGCACTGAAAAAATATTCAAACCTATAACGACGATTTAGCGTTGAAAATGTAGCATTTTACCAGAATGAACTAAAAGTAACTTCTTAGATGAGAAAACTTTAATCAACCCGGATACATATCTTGGTAAGGTAAAGTCTTTACGAGCCTAGCGGCTCATTACTGCCGGAGCATATCACAGCATGAAGCTACTAGGAATATTACTACTCCCCTGGCCGGGCCGCTGGACGGAATACTACTGATTCCATTGCAGGTTACCCAAGCATTTTGTCAGGTTACCCTAACCCCGCCGGTATATATATTGAATTTGTACTCCTGGGTGGAGAGGGACAATGTGAGAGGAAAGTGCCCTGGGCTCGAACCCGGACTGCTCTATTTGGAGCCCAGCGCTCTAACCATTAGGCCAGCCCGCCTCCCACAATTTCATATCTAGTCACTCCATTTATATTATATATATATCCGTTATTATTTTATGCCACTGTACCTTGTCATCCGGGAATAAGTCATTCGCACGAAAATTCACCAGATCAGAAATGGATCCCATCAAGAATTTAAACGCCTTTGTGTACTGAGGGATCGATTGCAGCCACTCCTTGAATTCGTTTTTAAAAGTTGGCGAATAAACATCGGAAAGAATGGATGCAATATCTTGACTTCCACCTTGAGCAACTATCTAGATAGAAGTTGTTTTGGTTTGTTCTCGTTGTTGATATCCACCTTCCTTGCTGTATTTTGCTCCAACGCTTGAGAAAAGACTTTTGTATTCCATCTCCATTTTCTCGGCGAACAGTCAACTGAGATTTGGTTTGTTTCTGGTCAGCTTGTTTAGTCTTCCTTATTTCGAGTTGACCGCCGAACTTTGCAGATTTGATGTAGTGTGTTCTCCAGCGCTGGATGAAATTTTCTGTTAATTGAACCTGAAGGGGGAACTCCCATTGTGGATTTTTAGACGAACGCCGAACCTGACTGTGGGGCGGATAAATAACAGTTGCATGACATGGAAAGTATCTGAAACTTTCCCTGGTTGATCATTACGATGTAATTTGTCAAAACACAAAATAAAAAGAATATGTCACCATGCCTGTGGAAGGAATGTGAACGGCTCAAGATACCACATGATTAGAGGAAGTTCCTCGTGTGTGTGTTCTCGAGGTCACAATTATATCTTCACAAGTAACTGAGTAATTGTGCACGTTTCCAGTGATTATTTTCGTCCTGACATGGAAATTGGACTATACTCATTCTATACAAAGAATACGATTGCTAGACTCAAACTATGGGGAAAAAGATAGGTCACCATAATCGGTTTACGAGAAAACGGCCTTTTGTCTCCACTGCTAGCATGACTGCAAAGAAAAAGCCACCATGTTCTGAGTGCGTGCGCTAATTACGCGGGAAACTACTTCCTGGATATTTGCTGGACTCGATCATGGTTAATGTCACTTGTGTTTACGTCCACTTGGATGGATTTACTGCTTTCTTTACTATCTTTCTTTTGGAGGAATGAAAGCCATCACCAGTTGTGAAAATCATTCATCGTCCAACTACAAACATTAAAATGAGTTAAATAACGAAAAATACAGGCATCACGAGGCCAGGAAAGAGGACAGCTGTTTAAATAGGAAACATATCGATTTTTTGAACCTGACCAGAGAGCCTGCCAGAGATTAATATTCCTGTATGATACACGAATATGAATCTCTGGCAGGCTCGTTTCGTGACATAGAGTGTCTTTCATTTTGGTTAGCTTACACGAGCTCTCTAATTGATTAGAAAAAGCTATGAAATGGTCTTTAACCAATTAGCTGCGTGCTGCGTGTAGACGTGACGCAGGAGGAAATAGGAGACGCCGGACTGCACGCAGGCTTTAACCAATCGACTCAATCTAGCTTACGCGCGTTTTCCCGCGCTTGCAATTGTCGCCAGTTATATGGTGTCGCTTACAGCACTCAGATAGATTCATTGTGATTCAGATGTGATTACTCGGGTTTTAGTTTGTCAGGGTACAAGCCGTGGCCGGGGTCATTGTGTTGCGTTCTTGGGCGAGACATTTTACTCTCACATTGTTTATCTCCACCCAGGAGTATAAATGAGTACCTGCGAATTGTCATGCAGGGCAACCGTCCGTCAAAATGTTGCGGGGTTACCTGTGATGGACTAGCATCCCATCAAGGGAAGTAGTACTAGCATCCCATCAAGACCCCTGTACAACAAGACTCTATATTGGGAGTAATAAGAAATGTGTTCTATAAAAAACTAGATTGTAGTTTTACTTAAACTAATGCAACGCGACGAACTCACGAAAATCCTCATTTGCTCTCCGATTAGTGAAATGATGAAGAAAAAAATCTGTTGAGATATGATACGAAAATTATGAAAATCTTCTTCGTCTTCACACTGTAGTTATTTTACGTCTCGTTGAAAATAAGGCTTTTTCAGTACAAAACCAAGTACTGGCGCTTTCAGGTAATAAAACTCTCGTTCTTGCAATTGATACCAGAAAATAGTTTCGTTTTAAATATCGGATCTACATTGGTAATTACGCTGCCACACAGAGCACGACCCTCCCCACCTCGCGGGGGTGATCGTTGTACCTTTAAGGGATTAGAATCATTCATGGCTTGGTAACCCTTAGGGTGTTTCAATCTAAAATGATCACCATTATACTGTTCTACTGGTATATTTTAGGGCATTAAGCCGTTAAAAATATGACAGGAACGACTTAATGTTTTAGAATCGAGATTCTGGTACCTTTTTCAATGAGCGGATGAAAGTATTACCTTCTTTCGTTTAAAACTTAGAAATTAAAAGTACAAAGGAAATACTAGGAAGAAAGAAAAAAAGAGTACGTATGGTAAAAGATAAGCTTTATTATAGAATTCTGGTAAACTTCTTTCGTTAAACGTTCTCAGTAGAACGTCAGTAGAACGTTAAATAATATCTACAGGTTACGCCCCAGGGCCGGAATGACTTAGTTTTTACAATGGTAGAATGGATTCTATCTTGAAGAGGAACAAGATACTTCCTCTCTCTCAATATCTTCTCCCTTTGAAGTAAATTTGCCGCGCTTTCGGCAATATAAAAAGATGAAGTCCTAAACACAACCAATTACGAAAACCTTGCCTCAGTTTGTTACTCCAGACAAGTAAAGTAAACAGACAGACATTGCAGAGACACATATTTCGAAGTTATAAATTATTCAACACAAAAAAATCGATCATAAGAACACCTTGACAACTAAAATTCATGGAAATCGGTAGAACGGACAGATTTCTAAAAGACCGGCTGACAAACGTGAGAAGATGAAGTAACGTTTTTATGAAACACCGTGAATAAAAAAGACTGTAAGAAAACACACTGCGGTGATTTTTAAAATAGATTTTCCAGCTGTCATATAACATGCTTGCGTTGAAAGTATTACTTCACTAACTTTAAGGCCGAAAAACAACATAAGGCCGAAAAGAGTACAAACACTACAGTACTTTTCAATGCAAAACACATTATTTTAACTCATTTGAACCGTAGTTATATAGCCTAAGCTCCGACGAGACCCTTGTACTCAGTGGTAGAGCGTTCGACCGGTGTGCGGAATGTCATAGGTTCAATTCCTGTTGGGGGAACTCGGAAATTTTTCCGAGTGGCTTGTGTCACTGACTGAATAATTCCTCGCGAAGCGAGGTTTATTCCTCGCGAAGCGAGGCCGAAGGCCTCGCGTAGCGGGGTTTATAATTCTGTCCCCCAAGAGCTGACGCGAGAGCAATTCTCGTGTGGCCTTTACGGTCATATTTATTTTAATTGTTTGTTTGTGGAGTTGGGGGATGACATGACGTCACACGGCGCGCTCGTGGCCTAATGGCTTAAGGCGCTAACTTTTAAATCTGATCTTCGGGATTGAGGGCGTGAGTTCAAATCCGACATGTCCTTCTTTTTTTTTTTCTTTTTTTTTTTCGGTTCAAATCCAGGCCGTTCTTTTTTTTAACCCCCTTTTCTTTGCTTAATAACATTGACTTCGACGTAATCTTTGTACACGTAAATGTAGAAACAGGAACGGCTGCTGAAGAATAACAATTTTTACTCCAAGTTTGTTTATCGAACAAATTTATATACGGGTCATTTGTGAAAAAAAACCCGGCTTTATTAAATCCATTATCAACAACAGGAAAAGGAAAGACGACTCAGGCATTTCTCAAAGTACGATCAACATATGGCTTAGTTTTCATTGTAGACGCGAAGACTTGTGTCTGAAAATAATTCGCCGATCCGATATTGCGAAGAAGATTTTACCTACAAAAGCGAGGTGGTTTCAGATCATTCGGACGGAAAAGTGGGGAAAACAGTACAAGAGCGCTACAATTTATTACAGATATCGAGAGACGAGCGAACTCCAATCGAAACCAAAATCCGGTGGCATAGCAAAAACACGGCGTTCGTCCGGCGATTCTCAGAAACCTTGCAGCGATTCTTGGAAACCTTGCAGATCAAATCGCAGGCGTGCCCGTTACTAGGCAACAAAAGCTTCGCGAGAGCCTGCGAGTCACGTATTACTAGTAATTCTGTCCCCCAAGAGCTGACGCGGGATCAATTCTCATCTGGACTTTACGGTCATATTTATTTGTTTGTTTGTGAAGTTGGGGGATGGCATGACGTCACACGACGCGCTCGTGGTCTAATGGCTTAAGGCGCTAACTTTTAAATCTGAGAGAGTGAGAGTTCGAATCCTAAAGGGTCCTTTTCTAAATTTTTTTATTTTATTTAGGTTCGAATCCGGGCGTTTTTTTTTTTTCCCCTTTTCTTTGTTTGTCATATACCGTGAAATTTTTGATGGCAGTATGAGCGGCCTACTAACAAAAACGATTTGTTTCTAAAGAAACTGTTGTGCTGGGTCGGCGGGAAAGCGAAACAGTTAATTATCAACTTCAAGCTGATAAAGGTTAATTAGCCGCCATAGGGAATTTGGAAAGCTGACGTTTCGAGCATAAGTCCTTCATCGGAGGGCCAATGCTCGAAATGTCTGCTTTCCAAATTCACAGGGAGGTTTATTCATTAACTTAGTTGATAATAAACTAAGTTATCCCCTAGTGTATATGACTTGGTCACCTGTTGGCTAAGTGAGAAATTAGATGTTGATCATCTAAGGGAGGAGGGTTACCCGGGGGGGGGGGGGGAACTCCCATATAAAAGTGACGGGGGTAATCGTCGGAAATTTTGAAAAGAACCCCTAAAAGGTACCAAAATCTCGTTTGGTGGGTATGGCTCAAAATCATTTTCACCCCTAAGAGGTACAAATTCTAAGAAAAAAATAGTTATTGTCATATTTTTCCCGCAAAATACCTCTAAAAGGTACCGGAATAACTTTAACGGTAGACATTTTAGATTTTAACACCCTAAGCGGTATTTTAACCCCTAAAAGGTACGACGATCACCCCCATCACTTTTATATGGAAGTCCCCCCCCCCCGGGAGGGTTAACGAGCAATTCACCATTATTTGGGGGAAACGATTGAGAAGAACTGCAACAGGTTGTTACTTCAGTGAACAGGCAGCAGGTAACCACCCTTTGAGACACCAATGAAGCGAACACAAGTTTTTCAATGTTTGCCACCCTCCGATCCGACTTGTTTTTCACGCACACCGTGACAGATGTAGTCAAGCCAAAAACAAAACCCAGTGACTAAACAAGCATGCGTTCACGAACTATTTTGGAATCATGGAGGAACCGAGCATGTCAATTCACAAATGACACTCGGTTCAAAATAATCCTGAGGAAAACTTTAAGGGAACAACACTGTATGTAGTTTCTTTAAGAGAAGTTGAGTGGGGTGTCCTTGCGAGGGGGGTAGTGGGGGAGGATAGGACTATAGGAGATAGGAGGGGAGGGGGTTAAGATCAAGTTTCACGGAAAATAAAACTGTTAATTAACAATTCACGGAAAATAAAATTGCCAATTTAATGCTTCAGGAAAAAGAGCCGAGATTGGTTTCTGTGGCATGTATACTGCATGTTTTTATTAGCGCCAGCAGAAAGGAACTTGAGTTCTTTGTTTCGTAGTTGCAAAATTATTGAAGAAATTAAAAAAATCACAGTTCACGAAGAATTAGGAGCTCCATTCTCATTTTACAGAAAATTTTATTATGAAGAATCACGGTTCACGGCTATTACGGAAATCACGTTTCGCGAAATTGAATAATAAATAGTCATTTCACATTTCACGTAAAATAAAAAAAAAGGCAATTCACGGCTCGCGAAATCCGGCCACTATTGACACTATGCTGGCTTCAGTGTCGTGAAGGTAAACGCTTTTTCGGGTCGTGCTCAACAGTGCAAAGCGTAACCGTTAACCATTCTTATATTATTTATAATATGTGAACAGGATTTGGTTAGAACAACGATATAAATGGAAAAAATTCAAATGTGGTAACTACAAGTAGCGTTTTATAATAATAACAACAACTTTATAACAACTTTATTTGTGTGTCATAGTCTTCTAGCGTGCCTAATAAGGCCCACTAATCGGGGGCACCTAAGAATATCACAAAATATACTATAAAAAAAACTTTTAAAGATCTTTAGTTGTTTTTGTTTTGTTTTCGGACTTTCAATGTACACTTCAAATTATTGACTTTAATTTTAGTAATTAACCAGTTTTGTCTTTAATTTGAGTTCTAAAAGAAACTATCCGCTTTTGATTACAAAAAATGTTACGAAATGAATATATGATCATCGCAGTTGTGAATGCAATTTAAGCAATTGCAATTTTTAAGTCAGAAAAAATTCTGGCTTCAACGGGATTTGAACCCATGACCTCCGCGTTACTAGTGCGTTGCATTAACAATTTATAGAAGACTATTTGTTAACACTTTCAACTGATGGTTTTCCAAACTACAAACACTAATTTAACAGCGTTTGTGTGGTATCTACTCAGTTTTAAAAGTGTTATGCGCGCAGGCCAGAGCAAATACATGTCTATTTATCTTTATGGTTAGCGTGGTGGACTTCGGATGAGCGGTCCGGTAAATGTCAACAATGTATTTTTATTTGTCGACGTTTTGTATTTTCTTCTACAATGTAAAAGCCTAAAAAAGCAATAAAACAATATTTCCAGTTCACCCTCGCTTTCAGAAGAGCAGTTCTCGACATCTGAGTCAGTTGTATTTCGGCCAAAATATATTTTTTTCTTTGTGTTAATCGCGTTAATTTCCTTCATTGTGAAATTTTACCTCCTTTTTCGCATTAATTTCCTTTATTCGGAATTAATTTTCCCTCCAATTCGCGTTAATTTAAGTCGCGTTAATTTCAAATACCTTAATTAACACGAGTGTTAATTCCCTATAATAAGGTAAATCTTTCGACGTGAATCACAGCACCGTGAAAGTTACAGCCACCTGTTAAACACACACTGTGTTATCTCAAACGGAAACATTATAAATAAACAGAACCATTGACAGAATTGACACTTGACACAAGTATAAGGTGACAAGTCTTCAATTCGCACGACCAAATTATTGTTATTTATTTGAACAGTAATCTCCAGGTGAAGCAGTGGACAGGACAACAGGACAGCCATGGGAACATTTATATTTATTATTTTAATTGCTGTAATTCTCACGGGGCGTATCACTGTAAGTATGACTTGAAACCATTTGGTATTTAAAACTAACAATATTCGCACATGATCTCTATCCCGTGTAAAACATCCGGCAAGACAATCAGTCCATACGATGAACAGAAATCGCAACGATTTGGCTTGTAGTTCTATCTTTCAATATTTTTGGCGACGATTTCCGAGGACGATCGAAAACCAAAACAAATCGCCTTTTCAGAGTCAAATTTAGGCGTTGCACTGCAGGCGCTGAACAATTACGCTTTTACTCAAATAAAACAAAACTAACTGATTACATTATTTCATGTTGCTTCTTGGAATTAAAGGCAAAATATTTTAAAACTCACTTAATAAAAGAGAATTATGACTTTTTGAAAATACAACACTGTCACAAAGAGCCCTTGCAAAATTTGTGCGAGCATGCTGTTGGTTGAAGACGTTTTTTCTCAAAAATATAACGTGATAGGGCTAGTGTACCGGGAACAAGAAAAAAAATTGTGGCAGTAAGGTTTTCTAAGCCACAGGAGTTCGATCAACATGGCTAATATTCAACAGTCATAACTCGCGTGACGTAATTTTGCACTTTTGTGGTTCCTAACTTTCCCGCAAAAAAATAATTATCTGATGGAGCAGATATTCTCAAAACTAGCTTTGTGATAGGAATAAGGACAATAAGGCATGGGTGTCCCTAAATTCACCACATATTGCCCCGAAATAAGGTGTATTAGTACGGTATATGTAACAGGACTACGTACTGTCCAATTTGGGAAATAATTGGATAGTTGCTTGAATAGGATTTTACAGTAGCAATATAATTAGTAATGGTAATTGATCGAGTGGAGTACAATTCGTATAGGTAATCGCATGGGCCCGAGTGCAATTAGGGATTAATTTCACGAGTATTTTCAAAGTTTTTACAAAATTGCCCGAGTCGCGCAGCGACGAGGGCAATTTTGTAAAAACTTTGAAAATACAAGTGAAATTAATCCCTAATTGCACGAGGGAACAATGCGATTACTTG